GATCCTAATACTTGACGAACCCGGGGAAGCTCTAAAGCAGATATTTGACGCGACGTCATACATGTACATAGTCACTAGAAATCTAGGATTAGCACAAAGGGTATCGGCAATATAATCCAAGGTAGGCCGAACGGAAAATAGCCGCTCCGGTGAAATGGTATGTAGTGATAACTTATTGGTTATTGCACAGAGAAGAGTTCAGCTGCGAAGATATTAGTCGATATTAACGCGGGTTTCCTATTCCGTAAGCGATTCGGATCAAATAATTGGTTGATAGTAGAAGAGCGAACCGCCAGTGCGTGTGCGGCGTTTCAGGGTGATCTTCTGTTACGATTCAGCTTTCAGATGGTTCCCTCGCGTAACCAACCAACTGGTATCCAGGACAAGATCTCACATCCTAAAGTCAGTAAGATCGCGCTTCCGGCGGGATCTCATCCACCAACCGAGCCAGTACCAAACCAACGATTTCGAGAGTAACAGTTCCTCGGATGGTGTTTAGTAATGTTGATTCCAAAGTGTCGGAATGGATACGCCGCATTGTGAAGAAGTGTGCCCCACATTTGGTTAATATCCTCCCCCGGGGGGGTGCTCTCCCTGGTCCTATGATGAGAGGTTGTGTGGAAAGGTTTAATGATCTAGCTCGAATATCGCTTCTTCAAAGGGTCATTATCTCTTCCCATCCACACACCAGTCCGGCGATGGGTCAGATAGAGTATGTGGTGGTATGCCTGTATGTCATATCAAATACATATATGGAATATCGAAGAAAACGATTATATGTTGGAGATAAAAAGACATCATGGGTCACTGTGCTATATATATGAGTGTAGTTTGCATGGGTAGCATATTCGATTCGTTCAGTCTGACATAGGGATCTCCTTAGCTAGCTCGTCCCATCAACTCTGTACTACGCACGCCATGCAGATCTGAACTATAATTTTAGCGCTACATCATCACATCTTTGCTGGCCGGCCATATGGGCCATATTCTAGTATTCTCTCATTGTCCTAAAACTAACACGAGATAAAGCGCCCTTAACTTAGAGCTTTACTTTTTCGCCTTCGTAATCCCAAGCTTTGAAAGAACTCTTTCCACTTTGCTTCGTTTTCTCTTCGGGGTTTCGGATGCTTTAGGAGGAGTAGTAGTTCCCTGCTTTTTCCTGTAAGTTTTAGGAGGAGGATAGCAAAGCTCACATCTCGCATTCAGCAAACGGTAGTCGAACCAAGGGTCCGGGGTGTTTGATTTTGGCGTAAAAGGAGAGCATTTGCAAAATGCTGCACAGTATGGGCAGCCAGGAAGGCGGATCACAGAATAGGTGGATTGGCCAGCGTTATTTGTAACGATCGTTGGGTTTATCTTGCAACCGCAAATAAGGGTAAAACCTGTAGTCCACATGTTTATATCGACGTGCGTATATATGTGTGTGATGTGTGTATGCGTGTATGCGTGTAATGTTGGTTGTGTGTGAAAGGTAGGATGATGATTGAGATTTGATGGGGGGAGCATGCGCGCAACTGTGAATTTAAGGGGAATGAGATTTTCAACTTTAACTTTTCGCTCTTCTTGAACTCGATAAACTACATGTGATCAGTGATAGATGAAATCAATCGTCACAGATGACTCTGTGAGGCTTAATAGGTGGATTTCCCTATAAGATTCGCCTAACTTGTTTTCTCATTTGACCGGCACACATGGCACATAACTGCCTACATATGCACGCATGCTAGCAGGATATTTCAGAGATATTGGGCTCGAAAACGGCCAAGTATGACATCTGTGTGTATATAGTCCCTGAAAATATATAGATAGAATATAGTTATTGCAAATAATTGGTTTCTAAGCGCAGGGCTTTTATAATCATCAAATATCACTCGTCATTTGAAAGACTGTGAATTTTTCTAGTACCGTATTCTGGCCTATTTCCAGAGCTGAACGTAGTATTCTTGATAACTTGAATTATCTTGTACGCCTTCGTACGGATATCTTGCTAATTAGATAAATGGAATATACACCGTTCGTACAGGTGTGTATGTACTTTTCCCTAGGCGGGGACGCGCTTTCCTAGGTCGAACCTAGGGGTGCCATATCCGAAAATACCCTTCCAAGAATTGAATTCACATAGACGATAGTATATATATCTCCTGTGTATGTTTTAGTGTTTTCTGGTCAGTGGGTATCTACATCCACGAGCCTCCTTCAAAGGCACCTTAGGGCTTGCAAGGATACCTCGGCTCGGACAGCCATGACGCAGCCAAGCCTATTAGTAGCCTCAAAGCCAACATGACAGACCCAGTCTAACATTCCAAACATCAGACGGACCCTTACTTAGCGTACCATCATGCCTCCAGCAACCCTCAACCTTCAGATCCCCTCGCTTCATGATTCACTCCTCCTCGATGCGCGGATCTATCTCCCTGCGATATACACAAGCCCTGTAGCAGGCGCACCGTGGAAACGGAAGGTTGCGGTGGTCGCGCATCCATACGCACCGCTCGGAGGGAGCTATGACGATCGTGTTGTGTTGCAGGTTGTGAGCGTGCTGTTAAAGATGGGTTGGGTGGTTGCAAGCTTCAACTTCCGGTAAGATGGCAGGCGTAGAGTAGTGGAGATTAAGCTGAGCTAATGAGAGTAGAGGTGCATGCGGATCAAAGGGAAGGACCACTTGGACTGGGAATGCAGAGATAGAAGACTACATGTCTATTGTCGCGTGGGTTCTTACATACGTGCAATCGCTTCCGCCGCCAGAAACTCCAGCTTCTTCGCCTACTGAAAAGCAGGATGGGTCCGAAGAACCCCAGGAGGAGGTCATCTCACTACTAATCGCCGGGTATTCATACGGCTCGTTAATAGCATCACGTCTCCCATCCACAAATAAACACATATTACCACTCATGAATCTTCCTCCCAGCGACCGGCCTGCATTTGCAAATGCAATAGACGCAGCCCGTCGTTCAGCACGGCGGTGGAGGGACAGCCATTCTAGTACCCGAACTTCGTATTCGGGGTCTTCGGTAAACAGAGCTGATGTACTCAAGGCTGTGCAAGATAAAGACTCGTCATCGCCGGTTAAGGAGCACTGGGAGGATAGGGCGATTAAGTGGAGGGTCATTTCGAAATACCTTTTGATCTCCCCGCTGCTGCCGCCTGTTAGTAGTTTCTTAATAGGGTTTGGACAGGGTGGGAAGAATTCGTTAACGGGGTGGACGAAGGGCTTAGTTGGGATGGGGGGTCAGGGTTTAGATGGTGTGGTAGAAGAAGGGAGAAAGGGTATTGATGAGCTGGGGACTAAGGTACTGGCAATTTATGGGGATGGGGATACATTCACAAGCGTGAAGAAGTATCGAAAGTGGAAGGAAAAGATGGGTGGTGTCAGTAAAAGCTGGAAAGGTGTAGAAATTGAAGGCGCAGGGCATTTTTGGCATGAGAACGGGGTTATTGAAGAGCTGGAAGAGGCAGTTATGAGTTGGGTTGGCTAAAGGAGCCCCCTTCTTTCTCTTTTTCGATGTCTGAAGCGTTTTTTGGGTGGCCTATTTGATTTTTGAGTTTTTTTCTAGTTTCCTTTGCTCTTATGCTTTAGAAAGTATTGAGGATCCTACATGTTACGGCGAATGCTATGATAGCAGGCATACATGTATGTAGCTACATGTACAAATAATATTATTAGTGAAACATTATGTAGTTATCAAACACGCTTTATCGATATCATGTACCATTAGTGATCCAATTCCGGATCTTGAAGCCTTAACCCGAGAGAATTTGATTGTTCGAGTCCTTTACGGAATTCCCTTCCGTACAACGCTAGATGTTACTAGGTACGTTCTTGGCATATTTATTACCGGGTTTAGCGCATGGTACTCTACTGAGCTGGGAGTGTGTATATTTGGTACTGGTCATTGGGATATTTTATTTTTCACATGCAAATCTACCCGCTGTCAAGAGGAGATTATGTAAAGTACTAGGTACCGACATTATAACCACATTAGGTACGCAGTTCTTTTTATGCGTCTGCCCAGGGCTGTATGTGCTTCCTGTAGATTCCATGCGTCCCCCTTATATACTGTACACGTGCTCTTTGGAATACTATGGAACCCTTACGGGCCTTACAGGGAGGCATCTGCCAACGTGTCGTGAATATGTTTGGTTTATGTATGTACCTACTAGTCGCTTCATAGTGACGCATGGCTTTTCGGCAAAAAAACAGAAGCTTCAACCCCGCGATCCAGGTACATACTCACAGATCAGATCCAGGCAAAGAGATGCGACTGGTCAGTTCAACCACAACCACAACCAAAAATACTGCAGCTGCAAGGTTCAGCTAAATATTGGGTCGCCTGACGTCGGCGACACAGTGTCATATGTCATACCTCGAGTAAATAAATTAAGGGTCGAGCGCTGAAAGCGACTAATTGCATGTGAAAGGTAATAAGTGAAATAATTTGCATATTATTGAAGAACAACAGCAGGAGGGAGAGAGGAAGCCTTTGAGAAGTACCATAGTAAATTCTAAGAGTCTCAGGGGGAGGATGGAGTTGAGGGGGAGGTTGGGAGCACACACGATTAGTATTAGCGCTATAGCGGCAAGGCACCTCCAGTCTTTAGGTCCCAGAGCTTCGGGACTCGGAGGACAATAGATCTGTGTTTCTGTTTGACCTAACCCCCATAGTCACATTCTCCGTCCAAAAGCTGAGAGCTCCTCTCCGAGATCTTCCCCCCCACACTACCGATTTAGAATCGCGTCCTCGTGCCATCTAGAGGTACTTTGCATCAATACTAAACTGGCCTTTGCGGGGTGCGTGGGGCCCCGGCTAGCTAGTAGCATCGTGAACTTGGTAAGCTTGATACTGATCAACGTACCGCAGGATTTCCCCACAGCCGAGCATCCTACAAATACTGTCTGAGGCCTCACTTTCTGTTCCAGACGTCTTTGCTATCTACACTTGTCGTGATGGAAACGAAATTATCAAATATACAAACATCACTACAAGTATCACTCATACAGAATGTCGTATTTCCCAGCGTCCTCTGCTACGCCTTATAATCACAGACGCTCATTGGATGCCGCCGCCACAACCACTCCCGCCGGACAAGATCTTGCTTCCACAAGTAACAGGTCGGAAAGTACACTTGCACCACTATTTCGCTTCATCAAAGATCCTACATCTGCACTGACGTCGGTGTTTGCCTCAGATGAGGCTACAAGACGTCACCAGCTTGCTAGTGCGCGTTTGAAGAATGTGTGTTTCTCCACCACAAAAAGCTTGCTGTGGGTAACTTTACTGACCAAGTACTACTTGTACTAGGCGATAAATTTTGCGGATTGGGAAAAGGCGGCGAAAGAGTTGGATCATTTAGAAGGGAGCGAAGGATGGAAATCGGACCCCTGCTCGCCAGACTACGATTCCGATTTGATATCGGCGCGTCTAAAGCAACTTGACGATGCACGACTCTCTTGTGATATAGGACGGATGATTTTTCTTATAAGAACTACATTGTCACGAAATCTTGGTGAAATGGGAAACATTCGGGTATATACATGACAGAGAGTTTAGTCAGGGGTTCCTTGCTAATACTGCTATGTGTGCAGCTCTACAAGTATTCGCATACAGGCACGAAACGACTCATAGAGAAATACATTGACTCGTGCCTAGCAACACTCGACACACTTATTTCTCTTCCGGTCACTGCTGACGCCCCCTCAAGTTGCGAGATTCTGGAATCTCTCATCAATACTCGCCAAGCATTTGGCCGTACAGCTCTCTTGTTATCTGGTGGTGCTACATTCGGGATGAATCATGTTGGGGTTATGAAAGCGCTATGGGAGGCAGACTTGCTTCCGCGAATCATTTCTGGGGCTTCAGCCGGTTCTATTGTCGCTGCTGTGCTGTGTACAAGAACGGACGATGAGCTACCAAATATTTTGGAAGAGTTCCCGTTTGGTAACCTAGATGTGTTTGAAGACGGGAAGAACCCCGAGACAATTCTAAGCCGACTTGCAAGATTTTTGAAGATCGGTGCTTGGATTGATATCTCGCACTTGACAGGAGTTATGCGGGAATTGGTAGGGGACATAACGTTTCAAGAAGCCTACAACCGAACCAGGAGAATATTGAATATCTGCGTCACTAGTGCTAGTGTCTACGAGCTACCGCGCTTGCTGAACTATGTGTCTGCTCCTAATGTTCTAATCTGGTCCGCTGTTGCTGCATCTTGTTCTGTTCCCTTCCTATTCTCAGCGGTGTCCCTGCTTTCTAAGGATCCTAACACAGGTCTTCCAGTCCCCTGGAGTCCAACGCCTCAGCGATGGATCGATGGATCCGTTGAGAACGATCTTCCGATGACAAGACTTGCGGAGATGTTCAACGTGAACCACTTCATCGTCAGTCAAGTAAATCCCCACGTTGTTCCATTCCTACCAAAGGAATTTGTTATCTCCCCGGATCACGCCCCCGCTCCACCCGAAAGTTCTGCTGCGGGGTGGGGTGAAACGGTGGTAAAGTTGGCAGTGGGAGAGGTACTTCACAGGATGAATATGCTTGCAGAGATGGGTATTTTCAAGACAAGCCTAACGAAGGCTCGCTCCGTCTTGTCCCAAAAGTACTCGGGCGATATCACGATTCTTCCGGAGGTTTCATACGCGGACTTTCCAAAGATGCTCAAGAATCCGACGACAGAGTTTATGTTTCAAGCAACACTACGTGGAGAACGCGCAACCTGGCCGAAACTGAGTAGGATTCGGAATCATTGTGCTATTGAATTGGCGTTGGATACGGCGATTCATAAAATCAGAACAAGGGTTGTGTTCTCGCCTAGTCAAGTGGATTTACGAATGGGAAACCTTCGGGGGATTAGTAGTGGTGATGACAAAGGACTTGGAGCATCAGGAACGTCTACGTCCACAACGAATGGTGCTCTAACGCCCTTCGTTGTTGTGGGTGGGCGTGGCAAGAAACGTGGTATGAGGAGACGAATGCATAGCCATGATCCGAGTACACACCCACTCCGAGACCGGAGCCTGTCAAGGAGATGGCGGAGCGGGGCAATATCCCCGGTTCACACGAGGAATGAAAGTAGACACAATAATATATTTTTCACTCCTAGCAACATACCATCGAAGGAGCTCGAGCCTGAGGATGTTGAGAACGTCAAGGATGTCGAAGCCGACACTAATATCTCAACAACCACGTCGTCGTCGGAAGATTCACTGGGTGATTCAGAACCAGAGACAGAAGTTATAAAAACCAGCTCTATTCTGTCTGCAGACGGGACATATGAATGGAGTCTCGTTGACCCATATTCGGAAAGCGAAGGTGCTCACGACGAGGATGGGATACAGCATATACATATGGCGAATACTCCCCGAAGAAGAAGGAGCCATCCCCGTCCGTCCGTGCCCTCTGTGGCTCCTTCAACTGGGAATACACACCTCGCGTCTGCGCCCTCGACGCCTGGGGGGACTGTCCCACCCGCCACACTCCGCCGATGGGAAATGGTGTTCGGCCGAATGACCCCAGTAACTGGGGACGACGGGGCCCAGGCGGTCAAAGTGGGTTTAGGAAGAGCAAAGAGTGCAGGAGAGTTGAAGGGGTTGCTGGGGTAATTTCTGCTTTTGATTCTTGAGTAGCATGGCATGATACAATACAGGATATCCTAGACTAGAGTAGGATACACGATATATGACTGGTACAGCAAGGCGTTACAGGTCTGTTTTTATTTATTTATTTATCTCTTGTTTAAATTATGAGGCGGAGATTGTGGACGGGGCGAAGCTGTATAAAGTCGCATCACAGATCTTACATATATGTACGAATGAAATCTCTTTACTATCTATATGCATAGCTGTATCCTTTCTTTCTTTTGTTTTGGCTCTGTGCTCGCATACTGTTTTGTCTATCTATGGCACAAGACGCACATTTATCCAGAGGGTAAAGAGAAATAATTTTTGGGCAGTGCCTATTAATCGTGGCAAATCATTGCGGTGGTGGTGGCTGTTGTTTCATTATGTAGTTTGGACGTGGTTCCAAACCATCTGTACTTTTGTCTTGGAGAAATTTGTTCTCTAAATTGTACCCTATAAAGAGGAACATTCTCTCCCTCTTCTTGTTCCTACTCATCAGTTCGTACATACAATACATTTCTATGTTCTTGGTTTTCTACTTTTCTTCACAAAGATCGTCCTGAAAACAGTACCTATCTACATCCTTAACTTACCGCTCAATACGTTGCTAAACACCATCTGCGGGCTTTCGCAAAACAAGACCAGCTCCAGCGGAATTATTCAGACTACAGAACCCATAGTGGGGCATGCGGGGACGGAGAGGAGAGGGGTATACTGTGGGAAGAAGGAGAAGAACATGTGAAATCGAGGCAGAGCAAATACCATGTGGTGCCACGTCTGTTGTTAGGCCCTGCTATCCATAGCTGGCCAGCACCCAACCCACCACCGGGGGCCTAGCTAGCTAGCCAGTGGGGGAACAGAGGGCGATACTTCATGGCCAAGATGTTTTTTACTCGTACTTCAATACACACACACGCACACGCGCACGCACACGACACATAGACACACATACATCTACGTGCCTGTACAACGAATAAGACGGCCTCGCCCTGATCGATCCCTGCGATCCTTCGATTCTTCGTTCACATGTGTATTCCTCTCGGCTTAACTAGGCCACTGGCTTGGCTAGCCGTATTGGGTTAGCGTGGTAACATGTCGAGTGATTGGTTGTGATGGGGGTTGTTGGCTTGGTGGCAGTGTGGATAGTGAGGAAGATTGGAAGTGGGTATGGGGATATATGGGTGATGCTAGGCTTGAGTACTGGCTGGGACAGGTAGTCCATAGGGACTCGAGAGAGGTAGGAGGGGGGAACGAACCCCCCACCGAAAGACTGAAAAGAAGGGCCAAGCGGAAAAGTGACAACCCCCTCTCGATCTGTCCCTTAAGCTATCGATGCTGACCCCCCTATAGCAGAGGAATTAGATTTGTATGAGAGATCTATTATTTGATAAGAGAGATAACAGGATCTGTTAGTAAAGCCACGCCAAATTTGCTTTTTATTGGTAGGTCAGCATTTTTGCGATAGCTTAAGGGATAGCTGTCGCTAGTGAATTGGAGGGGGGGGCTATATCTTTAAAGTATAGGTCAGGTACTCGCAACTAATTACTAACAATCATGCTAAGGCTTCTTTCCTATCTAATGCTACCCTCTATCAACCGCGGCCAGCCCCGCTTGGTAAGCTCGATATAGAAGTGGTTGGCGGTGGGTTTACATGATGGGTTTGGCTTGTGGTGTGGGGCTTGGAGCTTGGATCTTCTGGGTTATGAGCTGAGAGGCGGGGTCCCGGCCCACCGCTGCGCGGGCGTGTTAGGTCTGGTAGTGCTACAGGGCTAGAGGAGTCGGTGGTGGGCTTGAACAGGACTGGGTAAACTGACTGGGTAACCTGGGTTGGACTGGGACTAGCAAAGCTCTTTCTGTAGCTGGTAGAGTTCACATTCTCGGAAAGGGCAGTTGGTGAGTGGATGCGTCTGACCAGCCGTCGGTGCCATTTAGACGGTTAATCACAGGCACGATTGAGGTGAGGTTGATGAGTGGGGGGGCCAATGACCAACATCTACTAGCACTATATGTGTGTTCTACTTCAGCGACTCTCAACCTCTCTCAAATTTGCAAAAAAAAAAGATGATATTTCTAACGCCACGGACTATAACCTGCCCACACAAAGCAAACGAAAAACCACAATGCAAGCAAAACCGATAAAAATGCAACGCTTCTTCATAACCCCAAGCAAGCAAGCCTTTCTAACCACACTAATTAGGTTACAATAGCTACAGGCGCAATCCGTGCAATCCACCAGTCTACACCTTATACTCCTTCTGCAGCAACTTCGCAATCGTCTGCAACTGGATATTGCTCGTGCCTTCATAGATGGCGCCAATCTTACTATCCCTCCAGAACTTCTCCGCCAGCCCCTCCCTCACGAACCCCATCCCGCCCATCCACTCCACCGCACTCCCCGACACCCTCTGCGCCACCTGCGACGCATACAGCTTCGCCATCGCTGCCTCCTTCACGAACCCCTCACCCGCACGCACCCCGCCCGCCTCCTTCACGCGCACAGCGTTATACACCAGCGCCCGCGCAGCCTCAATCTCTGTCCGCGCCTGCGCAATCTGGAACTGCATCCCCTGGAACTCGCCAATATACTTGCCAAACTGCTTGCGGTCATTCCACACATACTTGACGGCGTTCTCCCACGCACCCAAGGCGAGACCAGTCATCTGCGCGGCGATGCCGATGCGCCCCTCGTTGAGCAGCGAGATTGCGTACTTGTACCCCTCGCCCTCGTTGCCTAGCAGGTTCTCGGCGGGCACCTCGACGTCGTCGAATGTGAGTACGCACGTGCTGGACGCCTTAATGCCGAGCTTCTTCTCCTTCTTTGCGATGGCGAAGCCGGGCATGCCCTTTTCGACAATAAGGGCGGTGATACCCTTGTACCCACGCTCGGGGGCGATGTTGGCGAACACGATGAAGATCTCGGATTCAGCCGCGTTGGTGATCCACATCTTTTGGCCCGTGATCTTGTAGGAGCCGCCGGAGGAGGACTTGACGGCTTTGGTTTGGAGGGCGAAGGCGTCGCTGCCTGAGGCGGGCTCGGAGAGGCAGAAGGAGCCGACGGTGCCGGTGGCGAGGCGGGGGAGGTACTTCTTTTTAAGAGCGGCTGAGCCATAGGTTCGGAAGGCGGTGTTGACGAGGGTGTTGTGGACGTCGACGAGGACGGAGACCTGCTGGTGTTAGCTGAGTTCTACGGCGGAGAGGAGGGGGGTAAATGGAGCTTACTGAAGGGTCGACTCTTGCGAGCTCTTCAATCGCTACAACCGCTGATCCGAAGCTCATTCCAGACCCGCCGTATTCTTCTTCAATCTCAATGCCCATCACGCCCTGCTCGAACAGCTGTTCTACGATTCCCCGGTCCATCATCTCGGCCTCGTCCATTTCCCGGACTTTGGGCAGGATCACCTCCTTTGAGAAGCGGGAGACGGACTCCTTGAGCATCTCTTCGGTCTCGGTGAGGTGGAAGATGGGCGTGGGGTTGATCTCGGAGTAGTGACGCCTCGAAACTAATGGGGCTATTCCTGGCCTGGCAAGAGCTGCTGCTGTAGCCGGCCGGCGGAGGACGCGGGGGAGAGCTGTGCGGAGGGCGGCCATGGTAGCTATTGTGTGTGGGGGTTTTCAGGGAGGTAATGGTACTACTACTACGAAGAGAATGGGGGGGTATATCTAAACTGCTCTTCACTTTTGGGGGACGTGACGAGAGGAGTTGTGAATGTGAGAGAGATCGGGGAGAGAAGCTGAGGAATTGTTGTTATTGCATTGCCAAGAACGCCCTTCCCCACAATCGTGCACCGAATGCCGGCTTAAAGCGAGACACGGCGGTGACATGTGATTGCTCCGCTCCCCCAGGCATCGGCCCGGACTCGGCTTCACGACACATCACGGGTGGGTCGGTCATCTGATGGACATCTCTATTTCAGTGCTCTGCTGTTTACTGGGGGTCAGGACAGGCAGCTCTGAGCTTGGAAGCTGACAGCCACAGCCACAGCTGACAGAGCCCTGCAAAGTAAATGAATCTTCTTATTCCCATCCGCTCTGTCCGTGAAGTAGCAGCTGGCTGGACGCTACGGCCAGTGGTGTAGTTTGTGGACCGAGGTTTAGCACTTTGGCCCTGCGTTGGGCTGTCACATGACGTCATCACTTTTGCTTGGGGCCAAGCGACACAGACTCTCACCCGCTTCTCGAACTGCCTGTGTTGAGTTGGCTTCACATCTTCTCTTTCTCCTCCGCTCCCTCCCCTCGACTCCAAGCCCTTGCGAATTGAGGGAATCTGTTGAAACCTCCAGGGAGAGGGCTAAGCGATCCCATCTCGAAATATTTAAGAGCCTGTGTTTAAAGCAAAAAGTACAGATCGATAGGCAGCAGCGAGACCGTGCGAAGGAACCAACCAGACAGCATGGATTTTGGAATTGGAACAGGGCTCACCTTTCGACAATTGGCGGTATCTACCCAGTTGATCTTGGTTGGTGGGGCTTGGAGAGAGAGAGACTCAGCAGGACATCATGAGGGGTCACTCGATTCCGGCGTTCGCTTGGTGGTTTGGTTAAACAAGACTAGCTGGCCCATCCAACTTTGGCGGAGCGACCATTGGTTATAGGTGTTCGATTAGGCCTAAGATAACGTAGAGCATTTCTCCGCTCGGGCAAGGCGGGAAATAGCCTCTGTACTCTAGCAGAGAGGTGTCTTGAGTTGAGGGGACTCTCTGTACTCTACCCGTGACTCAAAGCTGCCTGCGGCGTAAACTTATCATGCACTGGACAGCATTCATACCTTGGAACAAGCTTTCTCCAACCAGCAGCATCACCCAATGGGAAGAAATCCGGGCACGAGACATTACCTATCTCTTTGCCTTATTCTATTCTAGGGCATACTCTACATAAGTACCTATCCGGCGGACTTTTCAGGTCTTTCTCCGGCTACTATTAACCAATTGAACACGGCTAGGGTCCTGCATATACGAGAGGCTCTTTTTATTCCAAGATGCAAGAAAAGCACGATGCCGATCGGAGTACCTATGTTCGTTTCGGGGCCTTAATTAAAATTTGAAAGGCTTGATAATAATTATCGATCGCTTATGCTCGCTCAGTAATCGGTGCATCTTGGCAGCCAGCCTGAGGTAAACAACTGCAGCTTGCTGACCAGGATCAACATAATCAACCTGCCTCTACCTGCCAAAAAAACTCAAACTCTATAATCCGGTTGTTGGCGAGTAAGATTCAAGTGTTTACGCCGCAGTAATTTGGGGTACGATCTACCACAATATCTACTTTGATACTAGTGGGGAGGGGGTACAGTACCTCAGGTACTTTTGTATGCGGGCGGGTGCTGCATGCTATCCGGAGCCTCCGGGTATGCACTTCTAAATGGACGACGGAACGACAGCAGTGGTCGCTGACACAGAAATGCGCATGTGTAGTAAGGGTTGAAAAGCCACTGTGGTAGATTTTTCGCTGGATTACATCAGGGTTATTCAAGTGGCATAAGCAAATCATACATCTGGTGGAATAACTTGGTTAACAACTCAGCGCAGATGGAACAAGCCAGGAAGTCTATCTGGCAGACAAAGCTCAGTAATCAATGGTTATATGGCAATGACGGTGTCAATAAAATAATTGAGAGGTTGTTATTGGTGGGGGCCGCTGGCCGTGCAATTAAGCAGTTGTATTAGCATGAGCTTTGTACTCAATTATCAGCCACCAATCAAAACACCTCGACCCATCACAGGGACGGGATCGAGACCTTTCACTAGAAAGAAGATACCTCTCTGGCGGGATGGGATAGTTAGATTGAGCTGCATACTGCGCCTTCACTCTAGCCTGGAAGTCGTCGCCGCAATCGAGTGTCAATGATTAGTTGTCATCTGCTGCCGCATCGATATATGCATAGTAATGATTTTGTCAGGTTTTGAAAGCGGTCCCAAAAACGATATCTGCAGGCAGAGCCAATGTTTACCGGGTTATTAACCTCAATATCAATGCAGTATACTTACTCGATGCTTAAGATCTATCTCGTAATTGTTGTCCGCGGAGGATTGGCCTTTCTAATTACCCGAAGAAGACAATTTGTCGTAGTTATGGATTTTTGGGTGCTTCTCAGAGAGAGATGGGTTCAATATAAATATTGACGATTCCCACCGTGGAGAAGGCTTTTTCTTTCTTCACCTCACTCATCAGCTCTCTGGCACTCTTCAGTTCTACAGCTCAAGAGCCTCTCTCCTTTCCCCAAGATTAGCTTCGATACCAATACCAGCACCAAATCAGTACTCACAATGCAGTTCTTCAAATCCCTCCCCACCGTCCTCCTCCTCCTCACCTCTGCCCTCGCGGCCACAACCGGTACACTCCTTCCCTCCCTCCCTCCCACTCCCCTCCCCATCTCAAAATACTAACATCTCCTCGCCCCCTCCCACAGTCGACCAAACCTTCACCCGCATCGACAAAGACAAAGCCATGCTCCTGGTCGTCGACCACCAACTCGGCCTCTTCCAGCTCGTCCGCGACTTCTCCCCTGACCAGTTCAAAAACAACATCCTCGCCCACTCTGCCCTCGGAAATGTTTTTAGCCTCCCCACGGTCCTCACCACCAGCGCCGAGACAGGCCCCAACGGGCCTCTCCCGCAGGAAATCCTTGATATGCACCCTGGCGCACCACTCATTAAACGTAACGGCGAGGTCAACGCGTGGGACAACGAGGAGTTTAGAGACGCTGTGAGGGCTGCAAATAGGACGCAGATTATCCTTGGCGGGATTGTCACCGAGGTGCGTAGCTAGAGTCTTTCCTCCAGTTTGTTGAGCTGACGCTAACATATATGGCCGGCACAATAGGTATGCACAGCCTTCCTAGCAATGTCCCTGCGCGAGGAGGGATACGAGGTCTTCGCCAACACGGATGCCAGCGGAACCTTCAACGAGAGACTGGCGGCAGAAGCAAATGACCGTATGGCCAAGGCCGGTGTCACGCTCATGGGCAACTTTGCGGTTGCGATAGATTTGATGAGGGATTGGAGGAACACCCCGGGGACACCGGAGTTGCTTCCTTACTTTGATAAGTACTTGACGGCATATGGCTATTTGGCGAGATACCACTCGGCGGCGGTTGTGAATGGTACTTTGTAGATAGTTAGCTAGGTTGTTGCATGTTAGGGGGGGATGTATGGGGTAGGGTAGGAAGAGGGTGTGGTAGTGGTACAGCGAGGAGGTATTTAGTGGAGTGGGTTATTTGGGAGGAAATAAATATATACATATTCTTTAAATTTAGAGCAGAAAGAACCGATGAAGTGAAGTTGATTGTATGAACTGATGATTTAAACAAGGAAGAGACCAGAGAGAAGGCTCTCTTTATAGACACAGTTTAAAGAACAAAACGGCTCCAAGGCAAAAGTACAGATAGTTTGGAACCACGTCCGAACGTCAAAGATGTTGTCAGCAACAACAACCGCAATAACTTGCCACCAATAACAAGGCCGGGACCCTTTCCTTCTTCTCTTGTAAACTCTAGAGACCTTATACGTATATTTATGGGAGAGGATGATCCGTCCGTCTTCTTTGTCTTCAACCCCGGCAAGAAAACCAAAAGCCAAAAAAGAGATAGCCCCTGGGAGGAATCGAACCTCCGCTACCCTAGTCGGGATTTCTCAGCTGAAGAGCGGGTTTATCTACGGACGGGTGTGTTACCACTACACTACAGGAGCTATGCTGCCAGTTGAGATTGTGTCTTTTTGAAAATTGTGGTGGGGGGTGGTGGTAGTGGGGTGGTTAGCTTTCACAGACGCCAAGCTGGCAACTTAGCCAGGCCACAGTTTAGATTCTCGAAGAGTACTGCTATAAGGTTTATGTGATGCTTTTACAGCAGTGAATGATCACACTGTGTGATGTCTAGAGACGGTGGTGGCCTCTTCACCGTGAGTTCCAAGGCGAGATGCAACCCGAGTGACCACCCGTGACGCAGCCGACCTTCTCCCTTCAACCCCAACTATGTAGCTTGCACAATTGCGAGCGAGACCGAAAAATGAGAGTCGTTTTGGGGGCAGGTTAACAGAATATGTGTTAAATCACGTCACATTTCAACGGCTATGTGGTCGGACCCGGTGAAGCATATGTGTTTCAAGACATATAAGTCAAGCTGCGGCCACTTACTTAATCCAACCATCATCACTCTCATCTTCCTGCATCCGAACCTTTAGAGCCACAACCTTCTCTATAGTGGGCCTCAGATAGCGAGACCTCGATCACCAACAGCCCAAAGCCATGCACCGAATTCAACAGTACCGATATTTCCATTCCGTACCATAATTATATTCATACATTTCCAGCTAATATACAGATTTTACTTTTCAGGGTCCACAGTAATACCGCATCATACTTAGTGTATGATACGGTAGGGTTGACCAGCGCTCGTTAACGTTAATTATAAACCCGCGCTACATAAATATATAATATAGATCATACACACATTTCATGGAATAATTATTCCACAGAGCCTCATCACAAACCAGCCACTAGCAGAAACCGTTTCCTTATCTCCCTCCCTCCCCCAACCCCCAACGCGCGCCGGGACGGGCTTAGGAGTTATCCGTGACCTCGTACGTCTTCGCGATCTCGGGCTGGTAGGGCATGCGGTGCTTCCCGAAGAGCTCCATCTCGATGGGGCGCTGCTTGAGCAAGTCGTCTTCGAAGAGGAGCGAGTGCATTGTGTAGCGGTCGCCAAGGACTTTCTCGTGGTGGTAGGCGTGCGTGGTGCAGTTGGGGCAGTAGAACTGGGTCGGGAGGTTAGGTTGTTGATTGGGTCTTTGAGGGGGAGTGTGAGTAGGGGCGAGGGAGGGGGAGCTACGCAATCGACGGGGTTGCCGGACTCGCCGGTGTATGTGTAGACTTTGGGGGTGCCCTTGGTCATCTTAACGTCGGCCTAGCGATCGAGGGGATGCGTTAGTTTTGGTCTTTGTGGGTGGAGTTGGGCGCTTGCTGGTGTTGTACCTTGGGGACCATCATGTTGACGGTGTATTCTCCGCCGCCAAACATCTTGCAGGGCATCTGAGGGTTTGGAATATTATATGTCAGTGACTGGCTGTCTTTCTGGTGAGTAGTGGAGAGACTCACGCAGTGGCACAGAACCTGGCCTGGCATATTTCCTTTGGAGAAATGTGCGGTCCATTGGAGTTCTCCGCAGAGACAGTGTGCTTGTGCGTCCATGATTGGTGATGTGCTTTTTATTGGAGGTTAATTAAAGAATTAAAGCCATGTCCTTCCTGAGGGCATCAAGCTCTTATAGATCGACCTCTATCCATGACATCCACCGTCTCTCTTCTCTGAACGCTCCGTGACGTCAAAGCTGCTGCTTGATCTAGAACACGGCTGCCCGTCACCGCCCGTCACTCGGCCCGCCTGACTCATCCATCTTATCGCTTATCGCCCGCCATCTCCAGGGAACCTTTTTCCTCTTCGCAGCCAAAACCTCTCTTTCTTCCCTTCCTTCCTCTTCACGCAACAAATACCCCACAGCCATGTCATCACAAGAGTTAACACCCGCCGCCACCACCATCGCTGAACCCGCAACGGCGAAGCGCTCCGCCGAGCACCTCGAGGAGAAGCCAGCGCCCATCGAAAAAGTGACGGAGCCCACACTCACCGGCACCACCACTGCAGCCTCAACCTCCGAGCAGCCAGTGGCAAAGAAGACCCGCACCGACCCGCGCGCCGGCGTGGCTGCCGTCAAGCCCGAGTCCGTCCCCCCTCCTCCCCTACTCTCCTCTCTCTGAAACGGCGGTAACTGACCTCAATTGCAGATTTCTCGTGCTCTCCGCCCCACGCATCGACCCATCCACCGTCGCCAACGACGACAACGCCGAAGCCGCCCGCCACGAGGGCGGCGACGACCGCGACCGCGGCAAGAGACGTGATCGCGGCCAGAACAAGGCGCGCAAGTTCCACTTCGCAAAGGAGGACGTCAAGTTGTGCAACAGCTTTGTGCTGCTGCAGCGCGAGAGCCTGTTTGCGAGTGCGGCGTGCGAGTTTGCGGGCAGCACTAATGCGCGGTGGAATAATGCTGCTGAGAAGCGCGGGAAGGGTAGAGGGAAGGGGAGAGGGGGTAATAAGGGTCAGGAGCAGGAAGCTCCCGAGAAGGTAGAGGAGCAGAAGGAGGCTGGTGAGAAGAAGGAGGGGGAGGAGGAGACAGCGGCACCCCCGGCGAGGCAGTTGTGCGCTTATACACATGTGCTTAGGGACTATCTTAAGAGCAAGAAGGAGGACATTGAGGGTGTCTGCCCGGTATGGGAGAAGCGCGGATGGTGTGCAAGTGGTTGGCGCTGTAGATGGCTTAGATCGCACAGCAAGGAGGAGGATGGGGAGCTCATGCTCGTGATCGATGAGGAGCGGAGGAAGGCCTATGAAACCTCCATGGCGGAGCAGATGAAGCAGAAGATCGCCAACTCAAAGGTCATCAAGGGTGCTAATGATGATAGACCACAGGATTGGGAGAAGGAGGTTAGGGTTGGCGGGTTTGATGATCCGTATGGGGAGTGCATAAACAACGTCCCCATGAGTGTAAAAATTACACTGAGGAAGAACCAATTCCCCCTTCCCAAGAGCAAGGTCTACAACGCATTCATCGATGAGCAGAAGAAGGAGCGCGATTCAAATGGCGATATCCTGGAGGGCCGGGCTTCATACGTCGAAGAGCCCGTCCGGGCCGAAGAGAAGCGCAAGCTCTACATCGGCCGCGAGACCCCCCTCCTCGCACCCTTAACGTGAGCCTCACTCTCGTCCTCTAAATATCTTATATCAAAATGCTAACATTTCCATGCAGAACCACCGGTAACATGCCCTTCCGACGCCTCTGCTCCTCCCTCGGCGCCGCACTCACCTACTCCGAAATGGCCATGACCCTCCCCCTCCTCCAAGGCCACAAGCCCGAATGGGCCCTCCTCAAAGCGCACTCCTCGGAGCTCCCTCACTTCGGCGCCCAAATCTGCGGCACCCGCCCTGACGCCGTGATCCGCGCCACCGAAGCCCTCTGCACCCTCTTCCCCAGCGCCTCCTCCCCGCGCCACGGCCTCTCACTCGTCGACCTCAACTGCGGCTGCCCCATCGACCTCGTCTACAAGCAGGGCGGCGGCTCCGCGCTCCTCGACAGCCAGAGCAAACTCCTAAGAATGCTCTCCGGCATGAACTACGTCAGCGGCGAAACACCCATCACCGTCAAGGTGCGCATGGGCTGCAAGGACGGCCATCCCACAGCGCAGAAGCTCGTACAGAAGGTCTACGACAAGGGATGCGTACAGGTCATCACGCTGCACGGGCGGAGCAGACAGCAGCGCTACACGCGCTCCGCGGACTGGGGCTACATCGCGGAGACCGCGGCGCTGATCAAGAGCTTGAAGGAGACGTCCAACGCCGCGGCCGACACTGCCGCCGAGAAGGAGGGGCGCGAGAAGCTCTCCGTCTACCTCGTCGGCAACGGCGACTGCTACTCGCACATCGACTACTACAACGGCATCGAGCAGTCTGGCGTGGACTCCGTGATGATTGCGCGCGGCGCGCTGATCAAGCCGTGGATCTTCGAGGAGATCACTACCGGCCAGTACCTGGATAAGTCGGCGACGGAGCGGCTGGGGTATGTGGCCGACTTTGCGCGCTACGGGCTTGAGTACTGGGGCGCGGACGAGCTGGGGGTCGCGACGACGAGGAGGTTTCTGCTGGAGTATTTGGGCTTTTCGTGTCGCTATGTGCCGCTGGGGATCTTGGAGAGCTTGCCGCCGAAGATCCAGGATCGCCCGCCGCAGTGGAAGGGGAGGAGCGACTTGGAGACACTGATGGGGAGTGGGGATTATAGAGATTGGATTAAGATTACGGAGATGTTCTTGGGGAAGGCGCCGGAGGATTTCTACTTTACTCCGAAGCATAAGGTATGTGCCTCCTACTTCTTTTTGGGGGAGTGTTTAGAGTGGAAAGCTAATTGAAACATAGAGCAACGCCTATGAGAGCATCGAGGCGGAAGGTTAGTCCTTCTGAGGCTTGATTGCTTTCCAGGATATCCCTATATGGGAACTTCAAAAGTTTGTGTTTTAAGGGATATGGCGTCTACTCATAGTGGTGTATCATTACCTATTGTATTATATAAATTTTTTAGAACCTAGTGTTCTGCGGGTGTTCTTTTTCAATTACCAACGATGCCATACCCATATCGGCATTATCTTGTCCCTTGTTTCACGTACTGTACGGAGAAGAGCTAGAATTATAAACGTAGAGTTCTCGGGGTCTTGGGTATTTGTGTTCTGTCTCATCTCTGGGATATAGTTATGTGCATATGCACCAGTTTTGCCAGAATTTGACTCTGGTCCATAGTGTGGCAGTTCAAATCCTTGCGAACATCAGTCAAAAATTGACAAGGGTATCGAATATCTAGTTATTCCGAAAGTTTACCAACTTCGTCGTCCTCGATTTGAGCTTGCTAGAAAACACTCCAAATGGGTCTAGCAATATATATTTCTGTTTCTACTCCGGCATCTGCCGCAATTATTTCCTGGAGTTGTTTTTGTTCAGGTTGAGAAGTTCTCCATGTATGACATCACTGTGGCTTGTGAGATAAGCTTTGGTGCCTGAATTGGACTCGTCTTGTAGCTTGTGGAGATCTTTGCGCGAGATGACAAGCGACTTCAAAACATCGGGGTTGCACGAGTAGGTACAGGGTGTGTACATGTACTCAACATGCAGTCTTATGTTGCCAGAGAGTCGGTTGCTGCGAGATCGTGTAAACATTCAATGGCAGTCGGAGAGATTGCGTATGTCCATGTCCTGCCAACCAGATGAACAGTCTCTCGAATGACTCCCGCTTCCAGTGGGCGCAGCAACAGCAGACATCCGTATCCCGTCCCGCACCCGTGCCGTACGTACTTTACCAGAGGCAAGGGCGATGTTGTTTTTGCGCGAGGTCGGGCCATGAAGAGGTGGTGACGTATGTGTGTGTGCCAAGCCGGTATGTGTGGCTTCAACTTGTTGACACAAACAGGGCAGATCAAAGCCACCTTTCACGTTCCCCAAATGACTTAATCTCTCCACGTCGTCCTTTATTCCTCCGCATTTCCCTCCCTTCTGTTCCCCTTCATCCATCATCATCATCTCTCATCCTGAAAGTTTATACCACCACACACGCAGAAACTCCACTACGTTGATTCAACACACTTTGTTCTGTCTTTGAGAACTCGAAATCATGACTCTTTATTACACTCTTGTTTGTACCCCCCCCACCCTCTCTGTTGTCCATTGTGGCTTCGTAGGATAGTGTTTTTATCATCCCAACGACTGGTCCCAAAGTCTGGCTTTTCTACCTCATTCTCTTGAGAATGAGCATGAATTTGGGGCTACAAGTCGTGGGATAGGTATGACGTAGCGAAACAAAAGGAAACGAGGCTGACATTTTGAAATCTAGGTGTTTTTCCTTCTCCTTGTGGAGATGGGCATTTTCATGCTCCTAATCCTCCCATTGCCATTCACATGGCGTAGGAAGATCTTCACCTTCATATCGGAAAATGCGTTCGTGGCGAAGTTACAATATGGCATGAAGGTACGCTTATAATCCTTCTTGATATATACGAGAAGGAATTCATGTTCTAATTACCATCGGTGTGTTTAGATAACGTTCGTGTTCATATTAATCTTGTTCATCGATTCCGTAAACCGTGTATACAGCGTTACCAATGAGCTCTCCCGACACACCGACCGTAATGGTGGCCAGCAGACCGTATTGGGCCACGAGAGGATGGAGGTTCAGGCGAGGAAGTTTTACTCGCAGCGCAACATGTTTGTTATCCCTTGCCCGCCTCCCCTACTTAATTCATTGTACTAATTGAGATGCAATAAAGGTACCTTTGCGGCTTCACCCTCTTCCTCTCGCTCATTCTTAACCGCACCTACGTCTTGATCTTGGACGTGCTGAAGCTTGAACAGACTGTCACGGAGCTTCGCGCTGAGAGCAACGAGCGTGTCCGTTCCGGTGCCGAGAGTGAATTGCAGAAGAAATACGAGGCCAAGGAGAGGGAATTGGAAATTGTCAAGAAGCAGGCTGAGGGTTTGACCAGAGAGTATGGCGAGCTTAGCGACCGCTACACTGCCATGGTGCAGAAGCAATCTCCAGACTTCGTTCCAAGGAAAGATTTGTAAACAGGCATGGAGACCTGTTAGTGGGGGCGAAAACGCTGTTAGCTTTTAGTCGGATAATAGTGGTGAATGGCGATTGTTGACGAATGATATCAGAGTCTAAGCAAGACTGAAATTGGGTTTAGGAATTATTGCGTGGTGCATGTTTGGGTTCTTTTTTTTTCTGTTTTGATCTGATATTTGCAAGAATTGATGCTTTTGATCGATATAGTTCCGTTTACTGGGTGATATCGTTTGTTTCAACACCTCCAAATCTATAATGTACTGTCTCTATTTTTTCTATTATTGGAACGGTCTGATTGGCTGTTGGGTGCAGGGGTGCAATTAGTCAGCACGACACATCAAAGTACTGAGCACTCACGAGAGGAGGAGGATGGGATCGAAGGCCCCTCATGATTGTAGAGGGAGAATTAAATTTTATTTGATACCCATAATTCAACGTACAACTCGCGGTCGCGAGTTGGCACACCCCTAGTATGTATGTACCCACGCTCAACGCAGCACTAGGCGCTTCCACTAAGACTTCCAGTAAACAATTGAAATGTATATCTTCACCTTTCTACGTTAGTCTTCCAGTTAAGAAGAGGTGTCTGGGTGAGCGGTGGAAGTGTCTATATGTGTATGTACGCGCAGCTATCGCAGGTCTTCCGATAGCATATATTCATGGCTATAAACATGTATATAATCGCCATATACCTTATGCTGACGCCCTTCAATGATTGATCATGATAAACTACATGTACATATCCTCCACCAAAGCTTAAGACTTACATCTAATCATCCTCAAATAATCGATTAAGTACGTACGTACTTATATGTTTCTTCTGCGTTCGGCACTTTTCGTCGTAAGAATTAACGTCAAATCGCAATATAACGATTTTAAGGCTAGATGGGGCACTTACTATCAATACGTACATTTTAATGCTACATAGCACTGAAGTACGTATGCAGGCTAATCTCCAAAAGGTACATAAAAATCATTTCCATTTCCTGCTGTCGATAATTCGAAATCGATCCTCAAAGGAATTTTCTATATTAATTAAAGGAAGACTATATATAAGCTTAAGATTATATACCCCAGCATTGAACAAATCTTTAGTGAAGTATGATTTTACCTAGTAATCTATAGTATGGTTTAAACAGGCGGAAATAAACTGCAGTGACCTATAACACACGGCTCATATTAAAAAGGCTAGTAAAGTGACACCCCCGAAGTGGCTACTGTAGATGATAATATCACGTGTGGTTTTAGCTTAAAGCCTTCAAAGCTTCTCTGTCTATTAGTATTCATCTTATATTTATTCATTGAACAGCTATAGCTATCATAATATTCCGTTACTAACATATCCTGCATGCTGGTTGATAAGGCCCCTGCGTGGCTTGAGTGATGAGAGCAGCTATCCCAAGAATATAGGCCCTAGAGTAGCTCGTAATTGAGGCATCCCGAGAGACGTAGGAGGTGCCTACAGTGGGGAATCGCCCTGTCTACTCACGGACCAATCATATGCGAGTAATTGAGCATTTATCCACGTGTCCACCCCGCCTTTTTCTGGGGTACAGGCCAGTTGCATGGAGGGAGTTGATGCTGTATCTCACCATCAGCGAGTGAACGCTCCAATTACCAAGATGTAACCCCCCCCCCCCCCCCCCCCCCCTTTTCCTTTTCCCAATCCTAAACAAAAGGTTCCACCCGAAATTGACCCTCAAAAAATAAAATAAAAGGCTTGTCAAAGTTCCCGTTTCCAGTGCTCAATCCACAAACACGATGCGAGACACGCCCCCGCTAGTAGTCGACGATATAGACCTCCTACGAGGCCACCCCTCAACGCGGCTTCTGGCAACCTCACAAATCGCTGATGCCGCCGCGGTGGTCCTGAACTCGCCGTCGCTCCCGGTCGACAGCTATACGGAGATTCGGCATCCGCTGCATTATGCGAGTGAGATGGGGAACAAGGACGTCCGTGGCGAGATTGGGAAGTGGACGAGTGAGCGGTATGGGTTGAAGGAGGAGATTGGGTTGTGAGTGTTTTTCTTTTCTGATGTTGGGAGGGAGACGTTGTTGATGGATTGACGTATGTGGACTGCAGAGAGCGGATCCTGATGACATCCGGTGCCTCGTTCGGGCTTATGAATGTCCTGATGCACTGCACCAGCCCTATTACTGGTTACACCAAGCAGGCATTCCTTATCAGCCCCGCCTATTTCCTGGCCGCTAAAATATTCGAAGGTTTGTTTTATTGAGTAGTAGTGCTAGGGGTGGTGGGTGGTGGGCTAATGATCGCAGATGCTGGTTTCACCGGTAAATTAACCGCCATAGCATCGACTGCCACCAGCATTGATTTTGCCGCCCTGCGCCGTCACCTACAACATCTAAATGAGAGCACTCCCGACGTCCCTCTCTCTGACGGCCTCGCCCCAATCTCCCGTGGTGTCCCAAAACGTATCTATAAGTTTGTCCTGTACTGTGTCCCAACATACTCCAACCCTACGGGGCAAACCTGGGATCTGGAGACCCGCCGCGAGCTTGTGAAGCTTGCGCGGGAATTTGACATACTACTGGTATCTGACGATGTGTACGATTTCCTCGGGAACGAGGGCGATAAGTGCGCAATTGGTGAAGACGGGAAGCTGTTACCTAGGTTGGTCACTATTGATCGAGAGCTCGTGGAGAAACAGGATGAGCTAGCTACAGGAGCAGGATATACTGTCAGTAACTGTTCATTTTCAAAGCTTCTGGGGCCCGGATTGAGGTGTGGCTGGATCGAGACCACGACGGGTGTGTTAGCTGAGCAGATCGGATGCGTGGGCGCCAATATCAGTGTAAGTTATTCATCATTCTTGCTTCTCTCAGACCACCCTACTTACCCCACCCCAACACAGGGCGGCAACCCCTCCCACTTCGTCTCAACCCTGATACACCACGTCGTCAAAACGCGCACAATCGACAGCATCATCGGCACCCTCCGGCAGACCTACACCGCCCGCTGCGCCGCCATCATAGCAGCAATCCGCGAGCACCTCCCCGCCGGGACCGAGATCTGCGGGGGCAACGGCGGCTTCTTCATGTGGGTCGGTCTGCCCGAAGGCTACGATGCCCGCAAGATTGCCCGCATCGCGGAGGAGCAAGAGGGGGTGAGGGTCATGAATGGGGATATGACGGAATGCCCTGGGGACCGTAATAGGATGGGGTGGGGGGATAGGTGGCTCAGAATTACTGAGAGTTATTGTGAAGAGGATGTGGCAGTGGAGGGGGTGAGGAGGTTAGGGGCTGCTGTGAAGAGATGGAAAAGCGAATCCGGGAGCGGAGCGGAGGGTGCGTTGTAAGAGGGGTGTTTGTATTAGGGTATAATATAGATGGGCGTAGGATTACTGCAATGCCGCTACCATAGATCTAAAATTGATATTAATAAATTGTTTAACGACTTACATGCTAGCTGGGTTGTCTTTAGTACATGCAGGGGTTTTTATCAGTGGTGCGTATTTCCTCGAGTGATATTCTGTGATTAAAACTGCCTACCTACTAAGCTAATATTCACACTGTGGGTGTAGTACATTACGGCCTAAGGTATCAATTTCGGGCCCCGCAAGTGATGTAGCCGGCGTGCACACTACTCAACACCGCGTTATCCCAAAGGCTCTGGGCCCGGACACAGGGGTGGGGGGTAGAGACGCATTTTCTTTTGAATCGGTTTACATACACGTACTTCTTGTACAGTCACTTTTTCTCTTAATGTCACGAACGTCTTTTTAGAGTAGCTATAGGTAGCGTATGCGTATGTTAAGAAGGCATAGGTGTGCCTATGTACATACATGTATCCGGGGAGCTCCAAAAAAATAAAAGGGAGCTGGCCAGTGGGTCATGATGTATGTCGTGGATGTAGATTGTAATTACAGGGTTAGGTGCCTCCCTAGCTCACTTTGTCCCTACTCCCGTAAGTATTACTTCCGGGCCACTGAACATTGTGTGGGCGAGCGTGGTCTAGTGGTAGACGCCTCGTCAACGCAGGACACCGAGTGGGTTGAGTCCCCATGACCATCAGTAGTAGGTCATGGGTTCAATCAACCCCGAGGGGTGGGAGTCTATACTGGCGTTGTGTGTAATAAATGGCACTCACCACCCTGAAAAGCACATTCTTCAGCAAGACTTTTTGTTCTTCTTAGCTTCTCTTTAAGTTCATTATCTGTAGTTGTCCCCCCTTCCCCCCCCTTCTCCCCCGCGTTCTCCCCCCCATAACGTAGCTCATCGTTAGACTCCATTCAATTACATGTAATGGACAGGGTCGGATAGGGGGTTAGGGTTTAGCCAAACTTCCGATCTATATTCTTTTATAGAATAGTATATGTAGCTACATCAAGGGAAGTACATGTCATGTCTGAACGAAAAACATTCACAGTTCTCTAGCTTGACAGAGCTGTTACATAAAAACTGGGCTCAAACACCCTGTTCCAGCCCGAATAACACCCTCCTCTTGCACTTTATGTTTCGTTTTGTTTCACCCATTGATGTTTGTCAGCTCACGGGCCACCTAGCGATCACCCTGATCCTCTGTGTCTGTGCACAATTAAGCTTAAGCTCCACTCGTGTCGTGCATGGAGCCTTGTTTCCCCACAAATATATCAGACACATCAAGGCTCAATCCTAAAAAAGAAATTCATTCATCTTTTGTTCTTAATTTTGTTTTTATCCGCGCTTAATTTCCTCCCTTAACATTTGCCAGCTCCCACTCAGTTCCCCTTTCGTCAATGGGGCTAACGTCGCTCACATCGTCCCTATAAGCAGCCTGCCCTCCCATCGCCGCCTTCTTCCTCCTCTCCGCACGGCCGCTGTAACCGCGGCCCACAAAGTGCCTTCGGCCACCGCCAATTGACACCGGTCCGACCTTGCGCTTACTGCTCATACAGAAGTGGAGGCAGCAGAGTGTTCCGGCTACAAATACAACCATGAGGGGAAGTCCAATCGCCAAACCGAGAGTACTAACAGGCGGCCGGTTGTTTGGAGATGTGTTCACGGGGGCGGCTTTCGGATCTGACGTAAGTATGATGGTGGGTCCCTCTTGAACACCATTTCCTGAGGAGGTGTCGGAGCCCACGATAGAGAAAGCCATGGGCTGTTCTGTGAGGTCCTTCTTCACGCCTTCGTTGAGAGCGGTCTGGTTCTTAAGCCAATCTTTGGATGGGACGATGGGGTGAAAACCAAGGTAGTTTGCAACTTCCCACTGAGATTTTGTGTTAGCGGGTTCTCTCACCACCGTTTAATTATGGATACGTCAACATACAGAGTCAGCAAGCTCCCCAGCGCCTCCGTAGTTCAGATAATGCAGCATGATTGTAACCGTCGAATTCCTTTGCCAGAAGTTCGGATTCCATGTAACATAATACTTTCCTGTGTACCACCACTCTGTGCCATTGAGAGGAGCGCAGAACGGGATCCACGGTTGTGTGTTTCCCTTTGACGTGAGCTCGTATTTGTTACTGTCGCACTGTGCGAAAACATCCTGAGACCGAGAGGTGTCGGGAATGGAGGAACCTGTGGGCTGTACATCCACCGTCGTTTGTTGCCCGCGAGTGTTTGTAGTTACATGCTCGGTGAAGGTCGAGGCACTGCCATCTGGGTAGATGCTGACCCAGGGTGTTGGTGCTTCAGTAGTGCTGCTTGAAGCTCCCGTACCGGTGGAGCTCGCATCCGCACGGCGCGCGATATTATCATTGGGGAATGCGGCGACCCGTGAAGCTGAGGCAGCAGCTAGGAGAACAAGTGGTAAGACAGAGGTAATCATCATGCGTCGTGAAATTCGTGATTTTGTATTCCTGAACAAGCAAAAGTGCAAGAATGTTGGAGGAGAGAAACAAAAGAATGTAAAACCTGCCTCTGTTAAATAATGAGAGAATTATTAACAGTGTGCGCGGGTGTCCGGAACGCGGGTGGTTGGTTTCGTCTGATATGGGATTACTTACTTTGGCGACTTTCAGCCTTTCACCCACACCGGAAATGCCTCACTTGAGAGATATGACAAGCCTGAAGTCATCTACATATTTAAGTCGACAGGCAACGGATGTTCGGCCATTCGAGAAACCGGTTGAGCCCTCAAATGCTGAGCTACGTAGATAAGTAATGATCAATTAGAATTGAGGATGTTCTTCTTGAAGAACAAGCATTTACCCAGGAATAGAGTACATTCCTGATTATCGATCTCCCCAGATCTCGTTACCGAAACATCAGTTTTCCTGAGAATAACTCATGATGCGCATATAGGTATGGCACATAGTACCTGCCAAGCAAACAGTAATCCCATACAGGCAATAATATTAACCACCCGAATAGGGACTAGGCCAATTGAAAAGCACACAGGCTGAAATGATTGCACCAATCAGAAAATAGATAAATAGTTAAATAGTTAGCTTCGGCCTGCTTTGTTTGAGATAATCGAAAGGCCTTTCGAGTCGTTTATAATATAGATCTAGACAGCCACCCCACTATGCTGTGCGCAATAATAACAAGAGACTCATTCGTTGGCCCGGTCTTTTTTATAGATGCCAAGAGAAATTACTGCGGCAAGCAACGAGCGAACATTCGAACCCGATGGGTTTATAAAACTACACGTACATGTAGTCCGGAATGGCCGCAGCTTTGTGATCCGAATCACTAAAGAATACTATGATTCTACTATTAAGTCAATCAGTGGATGATAAACGACAAAGATCGCACCTTATAGGATGCTCTCCTGGGACGCCGAAAGAATGCACATTCACGCGTAACACCTCGTTGGTTAATATAATGACTCCCATATGCATTGAGGGCTAAAACGATATCTGTGGGTCGGCAAGCCCTGGAAGAGGCTGCGCTGCTCTCATGATAGTCGGGTAGACAGGTGGACTGACTTAACTCACTGAAGGCGGGGCCATTGGATTAGGATGTTGAACCCCAAAATCCGTAGCTATGTCTGTGGTCTAGGCTATGTAGCCAGCTGCCTTGACCTCTAACATTATCACTAGCGCCTTTCTAGGGCCACGGTACTCAAGGCCAGATATGCTATATATTATACTTCCCGCGGTTATAAGCCTTAATTCGCCTTGTAAGGGAACTTGCATTTATACTTCGAGAGGAATGCGACATCCCTTGAAACAATCCCACGTACGAAATTGAAACCCGGTCAACAGTAACACCGCCTAGCCATGGTGTGGAAGGCTATAGATAACGGGATACTTTTGTTTGACTCTGTGTCTGCAGTGTTTCACTGCATGGGAGCATATATGTGGGTGAGTGATTATCTATGATGCAACCAAATTGATTGATTGATAATTCATTAATTGTGTGCAGTATGATGCAACTAAAGAAATTGTTAGAAGTGTCACATGCTCAATTAGATACGCACAACGGCCAAGTGATGAGTACATAGAGAGTCATATTAGTAGATCGACTCACAGTTTGATTTGGCAGGGCCAGTAAGATCGTAAGAGACGACACTCACAGTGACAAGTCCAAACACCTGCCACTATGAGTCCTAAGTAAATCTTACGTGTATCCACCCAATATATGAAGTAAGCTGTACCTAAGAGCGGGCACAAGCTGACTGTTCTAAGTGATCCCTCTCTCTTTGCACAATTGTAGAGAGCACCTATCTATATCAACACCCTTTAGTGGCACCGCAATCATGGAGGAATCACTAGTACACAGCCCAAAGTCTGGGCGAGACCCAGATTACTGTACATTGGCTCACGAAGCTACTTGAGTCAAACACCAAGCCTTATCTGCCTTTTGAGGTGATAAAAGAGACATTCGAGGCAAACGTCTCGCCCCAGAAAATGACTACAACCATAACTGTAGCGTTGTACATAGACACGGGGAAAGGATATATCTTTGCATTTATATGATATTTTTCGTAGATAGACCCCCGCATTAATTCGAATAGACGGCCGGTCACACAAGACGTCGAATTTACCTTTCCAAGCCAGTATGAGGAAAGATTAGGGCCTAGGGGCGTACCTATTCAAGACAAATAACCGAATACGGGAATTTCAACGTCTTGTGTGACCGGCCGTTCATTCGAATTAATACGGTATGAGTTCGAAGTTATCTGTGATTTATAATATCTCTGTAGAAAAAAGGATTGCCTCTAACATGAAGCAAACACCGGACCCAGCGGTTCGATACATGGGCTGTCGAGAATCGCCGCACCCAAAAATACATATAGGAACCATAGATATCTCCGGAAAGCCGCACAAACTTCAAAGACGATGAATGACGATAAGAATCTTCAGGTTTGAAGGAGTACATGTATGTAGACGATCTTTTATAATTTATCTCGTCTATAAAGACATGTATAGGAATAGATTTAACTATAATGATAAACTTAGATCTAGTATCTAATAACCGTTACCAAAACCATAACTCGTAAAAGAGAGAAAGAAAGCGTATAAAGTATAACGTCTAACGTAACAACATACAATCAAAAACATTAGAAAAGAAAAGAACCCGTAATTAAAGCTGTAGAACCGTGCTCCCCAAACCATAGCCTAAACGATAACAAGTATATACCCCAACCAAGTACCAACCCAACCCAAACATGAACATGAACCAAAAACATTTAAATGCTTCCCTCTACAAACTCCATTCCGCTGATTCTCTCCTGAGTCCACTTTCTCGCGCCATTCGCCTCGCGCTTCCATGAAAGGACAGGCCAGAATCTCTCGTCAACTTTGACACTCACAACGCTGGTAATGCCCTTGCGGTTGACCTGCTTGATGCGAATGTATTCACCCGTTTTCCACTGCTTAGTCCTAACGACATTGATGAGATCTTCGATGCTGCCAGTTGGAACACCATCAACCTCCAGGATCCAATGCGTTGGTCTGATGTTATCCAAAGCTGGTGATCCGTATGAAACACCACCGACATAGACACCGGGAGTTGACAAAGGAATGAGAGGCGACGTATTTTTAGTATCGACCTGCTCCAATACGGCTGCATGTGTAGCATGGACGATGGCACCAAAGAACTGAACCACGTTGGTTCCAGTAGTAGGGTATGCACGGGTTGTGGGCACAGTTAACGTGATTTCAGATCTGCCTCTGAGGACGACCATCTCAACAAATTCCTTTGTATCGAGGTCAAGTTCGGTGAGCTGGGATACACGGTGAATAGGCTTCCCGTCAATCTCCAAAACAATATCCGCAATTTTGAGCGCCTTCTCCTCATCCCCGGCTGGGGCTGGTCGAAGTCGCGATTCGACGATCAAAGGTCGAGGTACACCACGGATCTTCTTTGCAGCCTTGACATATGCATCGAAACGCTTTTGGGACAATCCCATAGTGGAAACGGTTGCGAGGGGCATATCAGAAAACTCAATCCCAAGATCGCGGCGAGGAGGTTCAATTTGGCCTTGACCATTTTCTGCGTTGATGCGAGCGACCACTGGAAGGACGTATCGTCTAATGTCGAGACCCTGAGTCCAGTATGAATCGTCCCCGGTTTTGTTCTGAGAAGAAACCGCCATGTAGTATGCAGCTACTTTCAAGCTCCTCTTCTCATCATCTGAAGCATCCTTTGAGGGCTTGCGGACAATGACACCACCCCAGCAGCCAGAGGATTCGGCAACATTGATGTTCTCAATGTTGATCAACCTATGACGTGGTGGATTGCATTGCCAAGTATTGAAGTTGACACCGATCGAAGCAATTGAGGTCTCTTTCTGGACCAACAGCTGATCACTAGTTAAACCGACGACTCTGACCTCATCACGCACTTTGAGTGGCTTTTCATCCCACTCAGGCACGGTAACGTTCTTGGGCAAAAGCTCGATATCGAAGGTAACGAGCGCGAACTGACCCATGTAGACGACACGACCTGGAATGTTCTTGTTGGACACGGTGAGGCGAATATCGAGCATCTCAGTTGGAACAGACGATCGATCGAAGAGCACAAGGGGGATAGGGGAAAGAGATACGATCATGCCGACACCAGAATAATTGGAAGCGGAGGTATGGCCATAGATTGAGTATGGAAGGCGGCAGACAACATTGACAAGGGCAGATTTGATCTTGTCCAAGCCAACGTCTTCGGCATCCTCCTCATCATCCTCCTCGAAAGCAGTCTCCTCCTTCTTCTCCTCTTTCACGGCTTCGATTTGTTTGAGCGGTGCAGGTTCCAATTCACGTCTGATCCAGGTTCCTGCAGTATCGTTCCTCTCAAACAAAGCGCCAAGGAAGAAATGACGGTCGATATCAACCATCAGCATCTGGTCCTCATTCCTTCCCATAGATCTTGTCATGAATGGAACTCGTTCGTAATCGGGGAGGGTCTTGAACACCTCGATGAATTGATCAAGATTCTTTGTCGGCTTCCCGGCAACGTGCGTAATGAGGAAGTCACGACTCCATGATGACCACAGAAGAAACCCAGAAGCTACTCAGAAGGTTAGTGATTGGAAATAATTCACCTGGAATGAAGTACAAACCTGCGCAGAAGACACCAGTTCCCAGCTCTACATTATGACTCCTTCCAACCTGGTAACTCAAATCATGAATCACAGCACCTCCAATTTCCAAAAACCTATTGGGGGTAATTGCGTGAAGGTCCTGAACTGTGCAAACAACTTGCAGTTTGCCCCTAGGACCCTCCTTTCCTTCCTTGCCAGATCTGAAGATATCAAGTACGATATCTTGTCCAACACTATCGTCAATGATACTCCACAAGGCAATGAAGTTTGTGATGTATTGGCCATTGCATGCAAAAAGAATATCACCAGGTTCCAGTCCCGCGACCCTGGTAACACCCTCGGGA